ACCACAGCAAGAAGAGAATATTTTTTTAAAGCAAAAATAGAAATTGTATATGTAAAATTGTTCTCAAGCTTCATAAGGAATTATCCCTTGAGAATGAAGTAATTGTGAGCCCACATCAACCAGACTTTCCTCTTCTAAAAGGGAATTAAAAAAAGAAAAGACGAAAAAGAACATCTGCTTTTTTTTGCTGAGCAACCCGGGAAGAGGCATCTTCAGACACAGCAAAACCAATTCCAATCAAATATCTCTCAAGGACACTTAGAGTAATTTTGTGAAATGCATGTTTACAATGTGCAGGTATTAGTTGACCTACCAGTGCATATGAAATACAAATCTATTACATTTTCGTTTTCGATTCCTGTTTATGGTACTGGGCTTTCAGACAATGCTTAAATCACTGGGCTTCATCTATAGTAGGTAGTGAGTCCCCCGGGACCTAAAGGACTTTTTTACAGATGGCCTCAATCCCATGGGGAGACTGCAAATTAATATGAGGATCATTGGCATTCATCGGGCACTTAGTCTGTCTGGCAAATGATGACATCCATCTTGGTGCAAGAGGGATCATGCATTATTCTATATGTAATCAACTGCTGAATTTAAATAGTGATGGCACAATAAACTTTTTCAAGAAGAATCATTACATAGCCAAGGGCCTGAACCATCAAACCTTTGCTTACACGAGCAGTCTTGGCTCGTGCATCTTATCTTGTTCGACTGCTGCCTCAGTCAAAAGAGACCATGGGGACAGGGGATGCAGAATCTGCATCTGAATGACAACAACTCTAATTAATAGATTTTAAAAATCCACCTATGAAAGTCCATTTGGGGGATCTGTAAATATGTATGCAGTTTGCTTCTTACCAGTGTGAACCCAGAGAAAATTAGGAATTATCCAGGGTGTAATGAGCACAAAGACTGTTGCAAAATATTAAAACTACCACCTTAAACACAATATCCTCTAATGCACAGTGGCCAATCTTCCTGAGCAGGAAACCAAACCTCCATAAAAGGCATAACTGCATTTACTACAGGAAAACTCACTGTCACTAATGAACAATTTTATTCTTGAAAGAGAGAACTCATGAAGATATGATATCCTTTATTTTTATGCTAAATAAATGAAGGGTTTTTCGTGATCACGTTATATGTTTGAGATGGATTACTATTTATATTTTTATACTGAAATCTAATTGTATCAGTTAATCAAAGCAAACGAATACTGCACAGTTACCAGTCCATAATGAGATAGATTTTTCCCCTGATTTCTGAAGCTTTCTGCATTTTGATCATGGATATTTGAATCCATAAACTTGGTTGGCTGTCAGCCAGTATGAATCAGAATGCCAAGGTATATATATTTATGGTACAGTTATTTCCCCTTTTCCCTGCAATGTTTCTCTTCTGACTGGTTCACACATTAAAAAATTGCAAAATTAGTTGCTAGCAAGAGCAAACACTATCTCTGCTTCTCATTTCTTTTAGCCGAGTGAGGAGCATTCCAAAAATGTACCTGAAAGCAGACAGAGATGGGCTGAGATGGTGGGGAAAGGGTTAAATATGAAGATGAAATCTCAATGCTTTCTGCCCTTCTCCACTTGCTGGACCTTTCTTTCATGCCCCATAGGTAGCAAAAGCTTTATACTTAAACTGTCTTATAGACACACAAAGAAAAATCTACATTTTCATTATTTCCTGAAAGCCAATCTGAGTACCATTTTGAAAGTAATATATAAAATCTATATGAAGCATTCTGGAGGTCTTAGTCCAGATGGTCTGGGTGAAAGTGGGTGAGTATGGGTAGCGGCAGAAGAGACAGAAAGATATAGATTGGAGCATAAAAAATGCACATGGTTAGATAGCAAATATGATAGGTGAAAAGACTGCACAAATAATTTTAAATATATTTAAAGCAATTTAACTTTCAGTATTTATGTGTTGCCTCTCTGACATTTAAAATCTGAAGAGATCATTAAATACTTTATAGTAAAAACTAAATAGTCCTTTTTATTAACTTTTGTCATAATCATATCTTGAGTTAGGAAGGTCTTTGTTTTTGAAATGTGTTCACTCCACAGTTTGGTTATTATTGCCATAAATTGGGCTAATATCATAAAACATCTTTAGATCTGTATTAAAACTGGCAGTGCTGTTTTCTGAACAAAAGGCTATTCTTTTGCTTTTTCTGAAAATATCTATTTTTAATCACCTGGTGACTTCTGAACAATAGCCTCATATCCTACTCCTTCGCAAGTTCCCTCATGCCTTGGGATTAGGTGGCATCCGTGTTCGTATTGTCAGTTTAGGCTAAATGATTGCGTGGAGCCGGAGCAGGAAATGCTGCCCTGGGGGTTTCTATCACAGGGCTGATTCTCAGTAAAATAAGAGGTGCTCTCCAGCGGCCCAGGCCGTGATCAGCGGCCCCCATGTCACACTCCCCGGCTGCTATTTGGAATGGCTGGAATGCTGCCCTGCTGCTTCCATCTGCGGTTGCTGTTTTTTCCCCTCGAGGCAGCCAGCACAGAGCGAGAGTGCACACAGACTTGGGGTGTGCACCTTGGGGACGGGTCAGGAGGAAGGACACAGCGTGGAGGGGGCGAGGTGGACGCCACTGAGCATACGGAGGCAGGGCTGGTACGTGCGGCCGAGGACGCACGTGCGCAAGGAAGGGCAGTCGGTGCTTGCACCAGGAAGGCGCATTTTGGGCAATGACGGGAAGGACCCTGGTGCTTCCACTTGAGGGAATGGCATGAAAAGAGACTGGGCAATAAGTGGGCAGGGGGGGAGTTTCAGCTCTGGACTAACTGAACTGCTTTCCTTCACACAGCCTCAGGAGCAGCATCCCTCTAAAGCATCAGACCTTGCCTTTCTAGGGAGGGGAGGCAGAAATGACAACGACATTCCTCTTACTTTAGAGGAAACGTTAATTTGCAGTCCCTTTGCAAATGACTGTGACTACCCCAGTTGGTTTGAGCTTAGTTCAGCCCCTGAAGCTTAAGTCTTCTTCAGAAACAATGACTAAGTTAATAGCAACTGACTCAGTCTCACAAATCTTGGTATGCTTATGTGAGACAAAAGCAGAAGAAATCTAACCAGAAACAATAAAGAACTTAAGTTCACCCCTTAATAGTTTTTACCCATCTTTGAAATAGGTTCTTGGCTGTCAAGGTTAACAGATCTATCACTTCTCTTCAAGGAAGACTTTCTAAACTCACATTAGAGCACTCTTATTTTCCTCTTATTATTTTCCTCTGTGCTTTTCAGGTGGCTTGAACAGAAGACTGACACAGTCTGTTTTCCCTAAAGTCCTCTTAGTTGCTTTAGGGCTTTACAGCAATTGGGCTCCCAGTGGCTGTGACTAATTTCCAGAGGACAAAGTACGGCCAGAAGTGCAGGGCTGAAGAAATCTCCTGGGCCACCAAATCTTCTCCCCTGTTGTCCTATGAAACTGTATCGTCTTCTTCCTTTTGGAAATATGCAGAGCTCTCTCTTAAAGGTAATTACTATTTCTGCCCTGTTCTCTCTGCTGGAAGTTTTTTGTTTGTTTTTGTTCTTTTTTATTATTTTTTTCTTTTCCCCAAATCCTTAGTTCTCTAATGTTTCAAAACGATCTGGTTTGTTGCATAAATATATTAATGGGCTGTTCATACTCATTTGTTCTTGAAAATGATATCTGCAATGCATCTTGCCTTGATAAGGCAAGATTTTTCACATTTCCCGTGTGCCTGAGGTATCTACAGCTGTTCAGCAGAACAGATTTGGCACTTCTTTGCCCCAGCAGAAATGCAGGTGTGTGCTGGATACGTGGAGGATGGACACTCCTGATGCTCCCAGAGACTGGCTCTGTGTAGGAAGCTGACGCTAAGGGTCAAGGTGGTGTGAAAGGTGTGAATTTGGTATGGGTGTGTATATTTTTATATACATATATACATATATATATAGGACTAGTGCTTGGGGCAGCTGCGAGGGACCAGGCACAGGTGTGCAAACGTGGCTGCGTATGACATGGCCACCTGGGTGACCCTGCGCTTAGGGTGACAGGAGGATGGGACATGGGTGCAGGGGCTGGGCAGAGCCGGTACTTTGGGTATTGGCAGGTTTGTGTGGGGGGACTGAGTGCAGGGTGTGAGCAGGAGTGAAGGGGGCAGTGAGCAGGAGTGGGTGTGCACGAAGCAGGGTATTGGGGGTGGCTGTGCAGGGAGCAGGAGAGCGGTGAGCAGCTGTGAGGAGAGCAGGGCCCTAGGGAGCGGGTGTGCGGGGAGCGGGTGTGTGAAGGGAGCAGGACACCGGAGAGTGGGTGTGAGGGGAGTAGGGGAGCAGGGAGCGGGTGTGCGGGGAGCAGGGTAGCGGTGCACGGGTGTGTGGGGAGCAGGGTACCGGAGAGCGGGTGCGACGGGAGCAGGGTAGAGGTGAGTGGGTGTGAGGGAAGCAGGACGCCGGAGAGTGGGTGTGAGGGGAGCA